GGGATTAAGAATTTGGCTGACAAGTACACATTAGAGGATGAATTGATTGAAGTAATCAATTCCTTGGAAAAAGCACAACTCATGAGAGTTGAACCACCCCACATGAAGCTAAAAAGTTCCAATCCAAAACTTCTCCCCTCCATAGTATAACCACCGACTCTTGAGTTGAAGGCTCTTCCCGACCATCTCAAGTATGCCTATCTTGGAGAGGAAAAGACATTACCGGTGATAATTTCCAACAAGTTGTCTATTGCAGAAGAAGATGAGTTGGTGACCTTGTGAAAAGTATAAGAAGGCTATTGGGTGGACAATTGCTGACTTAAAAGGGTTGAGCCCTTCCTTGTGTATGCATAAGATTCTCATGGAGGAAGACTTCAAACCAACTCGAGAGGCGCAGAGGAGATTGAATCCACCATGATGGAGGTGGTAAAGAAGAAATCATGAAGCTTTTGGATGTAGGTATGATTACCCTATCTCAGACAGTAAATGGGTGAGCCCCGTTCAGGTAGTCCCGAAAAAAGCCGGTGTCACAATTGTCAAGAATTTCGAGGGAGAATTGGTGCCAACCCGTGTGCAAAACGGGTGGAGGTTTGTATTGACTATAGAAAGTTGAATGCTCAACGAGAAAGACCATTTTCCCTTGCCATTTATTGACCAAATGTTAGAGATTGGCGGGTAAATCTCATTACTGTTGTTTGGATGGTTTCTCTGGTTTTCATCAAATTCCGGTAGCCCCGAAGACCAAGAGAAAACCACCTTCACTTGTCCCTTTGGCACATTTGCTTATAGGCGTATGCCTTTTGGTCTTTGCAATGCACCCGCGACATTTCAGAGATGCATGGTGAGCATTTTTTCTGAATATGTCGAAAACATCATTGAAGTTTTCATGGATGATTTCACTGTCTATGGAAACTCCTTTGATGAATGTTTAAGCAATCTAACAAAAATTTTGCAAAGGTGCATTGACACAGACCTTGTGCTTAACTATGAAAAATGCCATTTCATGGTGGAAAAGGATTGATTTTAGGTCATTGTGTCCCAAAAAGGCTGGAAGTTGACAGCCAAGATAGATGTTATCAAGAGTCTTCCTTACCACCCGACAAATGTTCGGGAAGTTCGTTCGTTTCTTGGCCATGCAGGTTTCTATCGGCGGTTCATCAAGATTTCTCAAAGATTACAGTGCCGATGTGTCAACTACTCCAAAAAGATGTTGAATTTGCTTTTACTCAGCCATGCAAGGATGCTTTTGATCGTTTGAAGGATCTACTCACCTCCGCTCCAATCATCCAACCACCTAATTGGGAGCTCCCGTTTGAGATTATGTGTGACGTGAGCAACACCGCGGTTGGGGCGGTTTTGGGACAAAAGGTTGACCGAGCACATCATGTCATCTACTATGCATCAAAGACCCTTGATAGTGCACAAGGCAACTACACCACAACGGAGAAAGAGTTGCTTGCTATTGTCTTTGCTCTAGAGAAGTTCCGACAGTACCTCCTTGGAACTAAAGTGATCATATATTCGGACCATGCAGCTATAAAGCACTTACTTACAAAGAAAGATTCGAAGCCAAGGTTAATACGGTGGATGTTGCTTTTGCAAGAGTTCGATATTGAGATTAAAGACAAGAGTGGAAAGGAGAATTTAGTTGCGGATCATCTAAGCCGCATTGTATCACCCGAAGATGGTATACCAATCAGTGACACATTTCCAAACGAGCATCTATTTGTAGCCAAAGAAGCACCATGGTATGCAGATATCGTCAATTATTTGGTCACAAGACAATTTCCCCCAGATTCATCCCGTTGGCAAAAAGATAAAATCAAGAAGGAAGCCAAGCGATACATATGGGACGAGTCGTACCTTTGGAAGTACCGTGCAGATCAAATGATCCGAAGGTGTGTTGAGCAAAAAGAGGTACAATCTATCCTTAATTTTTGCCATTCTTATGCTTGTGGTGGTCACTTTGGACCCCAAAGGACAGCTAGGAAAGTTCTAGATAGCGGATTCTTTTGGCCTTCTATATTTCATGATTCTTATGTGTTTTGTGCACACTACGAAAAATGCCAAAAATCCGGGTCCTTAAGCTCTAGGAATCAAATGCCCCTTACTCCCATTTTAATATGTGAGATATTTGACGTATGGGGTATTGACTTTATGGGACCATTTCCGCCCTCTTTTGGTTGTTCATACATTTTATTGGCGGTGGACTATGTGTCCAAATGGGTGGAGGCTAAGGCCACCCGTACTAATGATTCCAAAGTTGTGGTAGATTTTCTCAAGGTACAGATTTTCTCACGGTTTGGCACACCAAAGGCGCTCATAAGTGACCGCGGGACCCATTTCTGCAATAGGATGCTCGAGGCTGTTTTAAAGAAGTATGGGGTGACACACAAAGTCTCAACAGCTTATCATCCCCAAACCAATGGACAAGCCGAGATCTCAAACAGGCAAATCAAAAGCATCTTGGAGAAAACGGTCAACCCAAACCGCAAAGATTGGAGCATAAGGCTAGATGATGCCTTATGGGCATACCGTACTGTCTTTAAAAGCCCCATTGGTATGTCCCCATAGAGGCTGGTGTTTGGAAAAGCATGCCATCTTCCGGTTGAACTTGAACATAAAGCTTTTTGGGCTATAAAGAAATTCAATATGAATGAATATGAAGTGGGAAACAAAAGGAAGCTAGACATTCAAGAGTTAGAGGAGATTCGGAATGATGTGTACGAAAGCAACATGATTTACAAAGAGAAGACAAAAGCGTACCATGACAAAATGATCTCCAGGAAGACTTTTGTGCAAGGACAAAAGGTGCTTCTTTACCACTCAAGGTTCAAGTTAATTCCAGGGAAGTTAAGATCAAGATGGGTTGGTCCTTTCGTGGTCACAAGGGTGTTTGACCATGGTGCGGTGGAAATCACGAGCAAGCAAACCGGTAAAACATTCAAGGTTAATGGTCATAGATTGAAGCCATTTTATGAAGGATTCAAGGTGAAGAATGAGGAGCTTGATGTGTTGGAGAACCCCACGTACCAAGATTGAAGCATATTCAGGGGCAAAGTCGAGCCAACGACTTAAAACAAGGGCAGCTAATCGGGAGGCAACCCGGGGGTATTTTCGTCATTTTTCTTTAAAACATTTCGTTCTTTGCATTTCTATGGTTTTTAATGTTCCAAATGTGTTTTGTCATTGTTTTCAAACCAAAAAAATGGACCTTGGGATGCAAAAGCATTTCATTTCAATGAGAGGGAATTTTTAAGTTCAAAAGAGTGGGGAATAGCATCCAGAGGGGTACACGGGTCGTGCCCCACTTGGCCTAAATTGGACACGGGTCGTGTTCATAAGAAATCGACCATGACGCATCCAGAGAGCAACACGGGCCGTGTTGAGTTTTGCCTTATGCTCAACACGGGTCATGTTCGTGCTTCAGTCAGCATAAAAACCCCCAACACGGGGCGTGTCAATTTGGCCTGTGGGAACACGGGTCGTGTTCGCGCAGCAGGCTTGGTGGTTTTTAATGAAAAAAAATCGGGACTTGGCCTCATTTACCCCCAAAAATCACCTCATAACAGCCCCTCTCTCCCAACAAAAACCCTAGGTCCGATTTTCATCAAAACCTTTCAATTTCTACAAGATTTTGGCTTGCACTCCAAAAAGGTTTGATTTTTATCATCTGTACTTCATCTTCTCCATCCTAAACATCATTTTCTTGCATTCTAATGGTGGATTTGGGGGTTTTGACAAACCCTAGGTCCGAAAATCTCATATGATTTTGGTGTTTTTTGTTTTTAATCTTCAAAAGGGTAAGCTTGGGGAGGTTGAAGAAGGTCGTTCACATCAAGAACAACACAATCCCACGCACGATTCGGTAAATTCCTTCCAACTCTTCACTTGTGAGATTTGTGTTCTTGAGTCAAATTGCTTGCAATTGTAGTCAAATTGGACTTGATTCTCAATAGGAAATCATTCAAAATCAAATTTCCCGCGAAATTTTGGTGGTTGAATTCGTGTTGACTGGACCCGTCAACAGTTGACTTCTTTTGACTTGTTGACCAGTTGACTTTTAATTTGTCCCAAATTGACTATGGAAGGTGAATCTTCTAAAAGGCTTAGGCGCACCAAATCATCCGCCCGCCGTAGTAGGCCTAGGACCCCAACCCCATCACCTCCACCTAGGTCCCCATCACCACCACCCAACCCGGCTCATGGTGGTGTGTATGTGGCTGGAACTTGTGTGTGTGTGTGTATGTGTCCAGAGATGCTATGGTAAAATTATATGGATTTTTATTCTATACATCTTAATATGGATCATGATATGAATTTTTTCGGATATTGGTGATGATCTAACATATATTCTTGTTGCTATTAATCCTTTCTGACAGTTAAAGAGATTTCAATTTAATAATTATGTCCAAACGGGTGGTAATTACAGGTAAGGCTTTGCAGAAATAATTTAGATTACTTTGTTTTGTATTAATACGATATGATGTTGGTCTTAATAATTTTTTATTTGACATGGATCTTGTTGTAGGAGTTATGCTAGTGTTGTTTCTGCAACTCTTCCTCCATCCGGCTCCTTTGAAAATCACATAAATCGGATGACAATCAATTTAAGTGGACAGAGTGTGGAAGATGGAATTTATTATTTGAAAAAGCACCTTATATTTGGTGTGTATTGTGGAAGTAAGCACCTTATTTACGCATTGTGTTTTGAAACGTCTCCCAATCATAGCATTTTGCTTTCAGTTTTTTCCTTATTATGACACTATACTTTTAAAAGTCTGCCCAATTATAGCAGTGAAAATTGCTTTGTATTAATAGGAAGAAACGAAAGTAGGATGCTCTGATGTACAAATCAATGGAAGTATGTTGCTATGTATTGAAGTTAACCCAACAACAAACATGGCATCACTATCTTAAACCCTGAAAAACTCGGTATCTTTCTTGGAGGCTCTTCTGGTTTTCCACCATCATCATCCACCACAATAGTCCAGGCACCAATGTCAGCACCAACACTTGCTGTCCTTCTATGCCCTGAAACTTTGCTCTCATGTTTCTCATCAAGGTATTGTACTTTTGAAGGAAGCTTTTGTTTCTGAATTTTATTTCTTGCATTTGGTATTGAATTTTCTTGTGTCTGGTGATATTTCTTTCAACCAATATTTCTAATGGACTATTTGTGCTGGGGGCATTTATGGTATTATACAGGCTGGGCACATCAGATAATTTACTGATTTCAATTCAAGACAAGATAAAAGGGGCAGACACGATGAGTGAATTGGACAAGAAACATAAAAAAGAGAATGAAGAAAGACTGGAAGAAGTCAAGAATGCACTCTCTCTCAAGGTCAGCACAGTAGCACTATTCCTTTTAATTTTCTTATCTAGGTAAAATATAAAATAAGGTCTTGATAATATTTATGTTGTGTCTGAGTTCTGAAATGAATAGTTTTTTTTTTTTGGGGGGGGGGGGAGATGGAAGAGTGAAAATAGGAATGATTTGTTTTTGGATATTTTTGTCGATATGTGTTACTTACATGTGGCAGAAGTTACAAACTGAATTCCAATCAACAAATTTTTGGTTATCTATCATTAGATAGTTTTAATCGTTTCACAAATATAAATGAATGTTTGGATTACAATTTTTTAAAAATCCAATAAGTCATTTTTTGTAAGACACTCAATCTTATTTCACTACATTTAAGAATTGACCAAAATATCCTTTTAACATAATAAAAACTTTTCGTTCCTATGCTTCCAGACAAGAAAAACTCGCAGCAGCCTCCCTTCTTCTCTCGTCGCCTCCTCAGGCAATTCCCGATTACCTGCCGTCGATAGCTCGCCGCTGACTTCTATCGCCGGATACCGTCGCACCAAACAACACCGACAACCGTTGCATACCACAGATTCTATTCGATTCAGGTGCGATTTTCTTCATCCGACATTCGTTTAACTGTGCCTGCTCTAGATTTTCCTTTTCCCCTGATTTCAGTTGAAATCGAAATCATATGTGTTTGTTGAAATCGAAATCTGTATGATGTCTGCAAATTTTAGATGTATGCGTTACTGTTTTCGTTCAACTGCATTCAATTGCATGCTCTCGAGTTTCCTTTTCCCCCTGATTTCAGTAATCGAAATCATATGTGTTTATTGCTTGTTGTCACTGCAATGGTTATTGTAAATGCATATCATCGTTTGATTACAAACGAAGTTTACTATAAAAAATTATGTGTTAACTATATCTCTGTCTAATGAGAATATGTTTCGAAGATATGACAATCAAAGCATGATGAAAAATGATCGCAGTTAATTATATGCATTTACAATAACCTCTCTCTCTCTCTCTCTCTATATATATATATATATATATATATATATATATATATATATATATATATATCTTACGTGGCTTTCAAAAGTAGGATTATGTCTAACAATCAAATAAAGTATTGTGTTATACAAATTATCAAACACCTAAATCAACTAACAATTAAAATTTTCAGTTTTGGACCCAAAACAGCCATTGTTTAAAGCTGTTTTAGCACACTTGAAACCTGTATAACTTCCGTTTTTATTTCATATTCCAGAAGTTAAGACTCTTATCTTTTCAGAATGTACTTTTGAAGGTCCAAATGATTTTTCTAAATTTTTATATGATTTTTACAAAACTGCCTATCAATGCAGCTAAATTCTGACCAGCTGGTGAAAAATGTGATTTTCACCTAAGTTAGAAGCAACAAAAGGTTATGTAAAAATTAATGGATAAACTATATTTAAAATGGAAACTTTGAAAGTTTACGGATCATTAATTCGATTCCGAGTGATTTTTCTATAATTTTTCCAATACAGGTATAGATTTGTAATTTTTGCTGAATTTTCCAGCTTTGGATTTCAAAGGCTTTTTGACCACGTAACACATTAAGCCATCACTAAGAACACCCATAAGGGTAAAAATTAGCCTCTTAACAGACGTGGCATGTAAAACAATAAAAATATCATCCCACTCATCAAGGTGCAAAATATTTGGTGGAAAACAAAGTAGGTTGCACAAATAGGAACTTGGATTTCTTCCACCACCAATTCTCATAGAAGGACTTTGAAAGATTGTTTTGAGGCTTATTGAGTGACTCAAAACATGATTTAATCTAAACAAACAACAACAAAATCATGAGCACTCTTGTATTTATTTCTTTTCTTTCTCTGTCTCTATTGTTGGTTTGTGAGTATGCAGAAAGCAATTTTTCTGACTCCTTGGACATGCTTGAGGATAAAAGTTTAAAAATAGAAGATGATTCTGACTTGCCATCATGGTCAGGTGATGAACGTGGTGTCAGTGTTCTTATGAATGTTGATAGCTTTGGTGCTGTTGGAGATGGAGTTTCTGATGATACAAAGGTGAATATACATATATAGTCTTTCTTGAGTGTATTGATGGAGTCACTAAGGGGATTCTTTTTATTTTCATGGATGTTACATAACAAGCCTTTGGAGATGCATGGAAGGAAGCATGTTTTATAGATTGCATTCACGGGAAGCAGTGCAATATATAATGATATATGCATGAGAACTTAACTGTAAAAATGGAAGAACAAGACTCGGAAGAAGAACAAGGATCTTCATGTGGATATGATTCAAAGTGTCATCCAACAACTCTTCTATCAGGTCAATCATAATTGATAATGGTTCATGTTCGAATTTTCTTGAATTTTTGTATTTGTCTGAATCATGGTGTGACGGTTATAAGTAAATCACATGTAATTCATCTGTGAATTAGATGTGATTCACATGTAAATCACAAGTAAATCACAAGTAAATCACAAGTAAATCACATATGAATTACATGTGATTCACATGTAATTATGAATTACATGTGATTCACATGTAAATCACATAAGAATTACATGTGATTCACATATAATTCGCACATGATTCATATGTAAATCACATGTAATTTACATATGAATTACGTGTGATTCACATGTAAATCACAAGTGATTCACATGTAAATCACAAGTGATTCACATATGAATTACATGTAATTCACATATGAATTACATATAATTCACATATGAATTACATGTAATTCACATATGATTCACATGTAAATCACAAGTGAATCACATATGAATTACATGTGACTTACATGTATATAATATCTAATTCACATATGAATTTATTGTGATTCACATGTAAATCACATGTAATTCATATATGATTCACATATAAATTACATGTAATTCACATATTAATCACATGTAATTCACATGTAAATCACAAGTGAATCACATATCAATTACATGTGATTCACATGTAAATCACAAGTGAATACCATATGAATTACATGTGATTCACATCTAAATCACTAGTGAATCACATATGAATTACGTAAATATGCACACATGCATTTTGTGTGAGTGGACTTTGTTAATTTTTTTTTTAATTTTCTTGTGAATTTCACATTTGAATCTTAAAAGATACAATCAAATGTGAATATCATATTATATAATAACATCTGAATCTTACATGATATAATCACATGTGAATCTTACATGATATATACTTGTGCATTTTTCTGAGTGTTCTTGTATTAATCAATTTTTTTTTTAAATTTTCTTGTAGGTTTTGAAGAATTTGTTGAAAATATTGAAGATGTGAAAAGTGATAAATTGAAGAAAATATGGGAATCTTGATATGAAGAAATGATAACACTATGAATCTTTGTAGTTTTTTTATATTTTATTTTGTATCGAATAAAATACTTGTATTATGTTTATAGATTGATTAATAAAAATGAGATTTTTTATAATTTACTTACGAATATTATAGTATAAAAAATATGCATATATGCATTTGAAAAAATATGCATACATGCACCTAAAACGTTGATGTTTTTGTTAAAAAAATGAATTTTGAAAAAAATTGCACTTTTTTATAAAAATCGTATTTTTTTTTTGAAAAAATGCAGTTTTTTTGAAAAACAAATACAGTTTTTTTTGAAAAAAAAATACAGTTTTTTTTTTCTAGAAAAAATGCAGTTTTTTTTTTAAAAAAAAATGTTGTTTTTTTTTTAAAAAAAATGCTGTTTTTTTTAAATGCAGTTTTTTTTGAAAAAAGATGCAGTTTTAAAAAAAAAATTCAATATTTTTGAAAAAATCATGTTTTTTTGAAAAAAAATTAAAAAAACTCCATTTTTTAAAAAAACCGAAAATTATTATTTTTTTTAAAAAAAAATAAATCTGAAATTTTGAGTTATTTTGTTAATTTTTAGACATTTATATTAATATATTAAATAACACAAAAAATTAAACATTAAATGAGATTGGTAAGATGTCGATGATGTCCTTAACGAATTACTTTTAATCCAACGCTCCATTTTTAGTTCTTGGGAAACTTTGAGTTCTCAACCGATCTCAACCCTATATATATATATATATATATATATATATATATATATATATATATATATATATATATATATATATATTATATATATATATTCTCTTAAATTTTTTAGAGGTGATATTCCTAGGTAAACCTTTCGTTGCCAAGATTTTGATTTATTTTATTCTCTGTAATATTCTTTATAACTTATATCTCCATGTATTATTAATGAATCTACTTGTGGTTTTGGTTATAGATTAAGTAGAAGCACGTCTATAATCACCGGTGAAGATGGACCATTCCCTAGATGTAGGCCATTTAAATACACATATGAGAAGAAAATCAATATATATCCTTTTATGTGTTAAACAATCTAAGTGAACTTATATTTTTTTTAATGGCTTCTCATTTGTCTCTATTAAAACCTTAACTTTTTGTTACGTATACATACTTTAAGAACCGGAACACTTTTTAGCCGAATATAAGTTTATTCCTTTTTGGGTTATCATGAAAAGGGGTTTTTACGTTTTTAGGAATTTCAGTAATAGTCAGCTGAATTGTTAGATGCCGAGGGAACTTGAACTACGTAATTTTCAACAACTTGAACAACTACATCAATAGTTGCTTTCATCTCTGTTGTTATTTGAAAGAACTTGTACTCGACTTTTTACAGATTCAATAATGATGTTGGGTTGTGATTGCAGGACAGACTTATCACTCTCACCCGATGAAAGATGGTTGTCTACCACAAGCATTCTTTTGTGCATTCTCCACCTGGATTAGTTAATTAGTAGGTGGCGCAGGGTCAGTGGGTATTGGTTTAATCAAGCTTGTGAGATGTTGGTCAGCATGGGCGGCGTATGGAGTGGCTCTATCCACATGGATGATAGGTATGACTTTGGAGTCTACCAGTTATGGGCAAGGGGGAGAGCTCTTCACGTTATGGGATAGTGAATGTTATATTAGAGTTTGTTCTTCATCAGGTCCTATATTCCTCGCTTAAAATGGTGTTGGCGTAAGTGTCGAAACGTGTTTAACTGCTTAATAAATGATGCATTAGAGGTGATTCAGATCTTTGGAGTCTCTGCTTGGATTGGATTAAGAGCCTGGTTTTGGAACCCTTTGTGTTTATGATTGCAAATGTTGGCATTCCAATGATCTCAACTCTTATTGAAGGAATCAGGCTTGGAGAACCAGTAGGGGGAAAGAAGGAGGTTTCGAGAGTAAATGTGAGAACAAATTTCGAGGTTGAAATCTAATTTAACTGGGGGAGAATTGTAACATTTGTTTCCAGATTAGATCAGTTGAGGGTTCAGAAGGATTAAAGGTAAGGTTTTTGGGAAAAACTTGTGTCACGACATGATGAATGGGGTGTCACTTTGTAACGTGACAATTGGATGTTTGTGTTTTCGGAATGGTTGTCACGGCGTGACGAATAGAGTATCACAACGTGACAAAAGTTGCAGCCCAAACCCATGAAATTTTAGGGTTTCTTCCATATTTAAAGCCATTAATTCATGATCTAGGGTATTCTATTCAGCCTTCATCCCTTCCAAACAAAACCCTAGCCTCCTTGAAGCTTTAAGAGCTTGTCCCTTTGGTTTAAAGCTTATTTCTTAGCCCTTTGGTGGAGTCTAAAGAAAGAGGAAGATCATCTTGATATAAGGGAGCAAGGAACTAGCTTGGATCCACCATCAACTCCAAATTTCTAAGTGATTATTCGTATAAAGCTCTCATCTTGACTTATGTTCTTCTTGGTGCAAGTTTGAGTCCTTTTTGTTCCTAGGATGCTCTTGGAGTTTGAAGAACTCCAAAGCTTGTGATGGCTTTTCTAGGAAATTAGGTTTCCGTGGAATGAGGAAAAGGACCATGGTTGGTGTGTCTTGTGCTCATGCTCAAGTTTTTAGCCTCATTAGTGACTTAATGGACTTAGGATTTTAGATCTAGCCTTGTTTTGGAGTTCTAATGGTTACAGTCGGAAACTTTATCCATTAAGTCAGTGTGAAAAAGTAGATCTAAATTTTTAGACTTTGAGCTGAAAGGATTAAGCACTTAATGGAAAAGTTGGCATTTTGCCAGATCTCACGACGTGGCCAAGGGTTTTACATGTCGTGACGATTCTGTAACACATTGTTTCAGATCGTTTCCATTTCAGGGTGGTGATCAAGGATTAGGTATTGGCAGGCTTAGGATCCTTGAAGAATTTAGTTTTGGGCTCATTTGGAGGTGGATAATGTAAATTGGATGATTCGGGTATTCGGTTTGTGTTTTAGGGTCAAAGGGTATTTCGATAATTTGTCAGCTTGGGCTTCTATGGAAAATGGTATTTTGTTTTGGATATGGTAAGGCAGGTATGGATTGGCTAAAGTGTAGTGCTTCTAGTTACCCTTTCATGGATATAAGGATCGTCGGAATCGGTTTTATAACGAAGAAGTTATGGTCTTCGGAGTGCTTAAGGGTTTAAGGGGAAGCCCTAGTACACGGGGCGTACCTAGCGAGTACGCAGGGCGTACTGGTGCGAAGGGTGGTACGTGAGGCATAGTTCAGGGTACACATAGCGTACTATGAAGGTTGGATCGGGGATGTGAGACCTCGTACGCTGGGCGTACGAGGTGTACACGAGGTGTACGAGGGTTAGAGGAAAACCCGAATTTTAAGTGATTGTTCTCTATATAAACACATTAAGTCCTTAGGGCTGGCCTCTTTACCAGCCTCTAGGTCCCTAAAACCATGGAAAATCGTCCTTTAGCCTTCATGATCGTATTTTGAGCTCATGGTGTCCCATTTTGGTGTGTTTGGTCCATTTCCAAGAAGATGGGGTTTAGTGCAAGGATGGGGATCAAGGAAGAGTTTATGGATCTGGATTATGGACTTTATTTTAAACTTGTTTGTGGTAAAAAGCTATGAACTTGATCATTGATGTCTTAGATGTAGCATGTATGAGTTTTCATTCATTTTGGTCCCAGGGATGAGATCTAGTGGCTTGATACCACTCTAGGAGCTTTGAGTTGCCACTCTTGGTGTTTCTGAGG